CTACAATTTACTTCTTTGGTGAAATTAAATCAATTGATTTCCATCTGTCACTTGTGCAAAACAGAGTGTATTGTAGATAAAAATAGAATTGGTTACTTGGGAGCCTATTATATAAAATCTTTGCTGTTTACAGTCTGTATATTGTACTGTACTATTATTAGGGTTACTAATAGTGCAAATCAGAACAATCAGCTATGCTCACATTGTCTGATTTTGACAAAAGGCTCGAAAGGACATTGCATTTTACTACCTCCTATTATTATTAGAATTACAGAAAAGTGGGTGACTGAAGCCTCACTTAGGCCCTGATTGAGGAAAACATCCCTCTTCTGGACAGCATTTATGTATATGGTCAAGTTCCCCTTGAGGCAATGGGGCACTAGAATGTGTGTTTTCCTGAATCAAGGCATTAGCCAGCAGTTGGGGTAAGGCAGTGAATCCCACCTATTATGTAGGACTATATCTTTGGCAGGATACTTGCTTGCATTATCACTGAATGACAAATGGTTATTCATCAACTCCTGCACCTCTGCTGTAGCAGAGGGTACAATAAAACACATTGTTTCACACTGTCTCACATTTCACAAGCTGCATTTAGAGCATAACACACCAGTGCACACATTATAGTTTGTGTATTGAACCCAAATGCCAGATTTCCTGCACTCACTGTAACCCGATGCTTTGTAATAGCTTTGCTAGGATTTGCGGCTCACATTCCACATTGTGAAACCTCATGACATCCAGTAGCGGGATATCAGCCACTGACAAACACCGAGTGTGCCTTATAGTTCTCTTTTCATGCTGAGCCATCTTGATATGAAATGAGAGAAGCAGCACTGGTCATCAGAGTTTGGAAGAGTCTCGGTGCAAATTCAAAAGATAAAGCCAAGGGAAAAGCAGAAACCGTATGCACCATTGCTCTAAGAGCCTCTGCCATCACAGGCCACCTCCCATGGCTTTGGCATGCCCAGAACAGAAGCCTCTTGCCAGTGAGCTGAACAGTTGACAGAGATCCACAGCTCATCATTTCTTCTTTTGGCCTGCAATCACTGCTAGCTCATTCACGTCATAAAGGAGGAGTAGTGTAAGAGGGAGGGAAAAGATGTGACTCAAAGTGGAATAAACATTTGACAATATAACCTACAACCATGAGACAGTACAACGGGCTTCTTTCTCACAGGAATTCACAGACTTCAACCACTGAAGTGTCATAGTTGGGGAGCAATTAGCAGATGTGTGGCATTTGGCTAGTAATGTTTAAAGACCTATGCACACAGGACATACCTACTTCTAGTTGCACATAGAAATTAGGGGCGAGATTTTTCAAAGCCAGCTTGGGGACTTACGCATAGAATTCCCATTAAAAGCAGTGTGAGTTGTGTGGCCCGTGAGTTGTGCCCACGAAAGCTCATGATACCATCCACATATTTTGTTATTCTTTAAGGTGCTACTAGACTATTTGTTGTGTTTTTAAGTTTTTCCAAATCTACTAGTCAGCCCTGAACATCTCAATCTATTTCTCTATTACCCAAAAGAAAAAAAAAACCCTGTTAAAATAACATTCTTAAGGTTGAAAAATCAAGCACTTAAAATTTAGAAAAGTACACAGCATCTTCCCCAAGCTCCCAGTCTCCTTGGCCAGTTAGGTGCAGTCTCTGCCCCACAACTTCCTGTCCCATCTTATCTCCCATCCTGCTAGCCTCCAGTCCTGGTCTTCCCTCCGGCTCCTTGTCTCAATCTAATTCCCTTCCCTAACCCCAGTTCTTATCTCTTCAGCATTCAATTAAGGCAGCTTCCTCTTCCATATTGTCTAGGCACCAGTGAGGGTGCTGAGGGCAGGGACAGCCAGGATCCCTGCTCTCAGGTCTGGTACCCAGATCCAGACCTGGAATGAGCTGAGCTGCTGCCTCCTACCCCACCCGCTCAGTGCCGGACTGAGCCACTGGTCTGACCCCAATGCCTGGCTTGCTCAAGCGTTGCCTTGGCCAACCAGCGGGCCTGAGCTCAGGGCCGCTAGCTGTGGCTGAGCATTGTCAGGCTTCATGTAGAGAAGGATGTTGGGGCTTTGGGGCACAACATGCATGGAGCCACGGCCAGTGTCAGGGTCTATAATACTTGTAGACATGGGTGGTGAGTATTATGAATTGTATATTTCTGAAGGAAAACAATCTTCTCTGCAGTTGTACTCTACACCAGCAAAAACTGTACAACATAGGTCTTGTATTAAAAGCTGGAATTCATTGCCCACTCTTTCTGTTCTTGAAAGCATCCAGGAGCAGTAGAACTTTTTGATATAAAGGGATAACCGAGTTCAAACCTTGCCAGATTACTTTGCATTTAGCTATCTAGCTCATATGACAGCTTTTATCTCTGTCAGCTCCATGATGGGCGTAGTCAGGCCTACTGGCTGAAGCCAAGCCAGACCAGATGCACCAGCTCAAAGTGGCACCAGACCCTGCAAAGACAACAGATGCAAAACCTGCAGACATATCTTCACAGTTACAATAATCAACACCCCCCACAACACCCTTTTCAAGATCTCTTGGTCCTACACATACCTATCAGAGTATGTGGGGAACCTCATCCAGTGCACTGAATGCCTCAACCAAAACTGTGTGGGTGAAATGAGACCACCACTACCCACTCAAATGAACTCAAATAGAAAAAAAAGCGATAAAAGGCAAAATGATCGGACTATCCACGGACAAACATGGACCTCTCAGTCCTTGTCCTCCAAGGAAATCTGCACAACACTTTCAAAAGACATGCCAGCAGCTTGAATTCATAAATTTGCTAGACATCAGAAAGGGTATGTCTACACTACCACCCTAGTTCGAACTAGGGTGGTAGTGTAGACATACCCAAACATAGTCTTAATAAAAACATTGGGTTTATAGGTTTTTATAACAAATATGTAACCTACTAGCCCCATCTTTTTTGTCCTCTGACTGTAAAAGTGTTAATGGACCACTTCACCTTGAATGGTCCCTTTATGTGTTAACTTCTTATGCTAAACAATCTGTTCCATACTGAAGTTAGTTATGACACACTTGCGCAGGGGGAGGGCGGCTTGTCATCATGCACATTGCTACAGTGGGTTTCTCACACCGAGTGATGTAATTTTAGGTCTGTAATGTAGACCTGGTTTATGCTAGTGTTGTTGACCTAACTATGTCAGTGTATACACTACAGCCAATGTATGTGGCCTACTACACCACCATAATATATCTAGCTCTACGATAGGTGTAGGGTTTATGTTGGTGTATTTATGAAGATGCAGTATCAATATAAATGCTGCATTACTTACATTGGCTGTCTTGTCAATTTCACACTCCACGGCCAGGAGCTGAAAGCCCAGCTCCCCAACCCAGGGCTGCCAGGTCTCTGCTCCAAGCTGGGCTGTCACCCAGGTTCCTGAACTGTGCTGCAGCTGCCTCTACCCAGGTGCCCCAATTTCTGCTGGGAGCCCTGCTGCCCCCTGGGGTCCTGACTCCCTGCTCCCAGCAGGGAACCCAGCTGCACTGAAGTTCCCAGCTTGGAGCCTGGCTGCCCCCCAGACACTAGGTTCCCTGCCACCTGAACAGATTGTGGGAATGGATTTATCTCTGCCAGAGGCCCCTCGTGGCTTCCTCCCTATTCTTACTGGGCTCCACAGGGAGCTGTGCAGAACTGAGCACCCAGACCCTTAGCCCCTCACACTGCCTGTCTCTAGTCAGTGGAAAAGCTGCTGGTGAGGACACGTGCCATAGACAGAAGGAGGGTAGTGTGGACATCAGCCAGCACAGTAGTTACTGTGGTGGCTGTATGCTAACCTAATTGATTTAAGATTGTTGAGTAGACATACTCTTAGTTGCCCAGACCTGAAGAAAAGCTCGAAAGCTTGTGTCTCTCACCAGCAGAAGCATGTCAAATAAGAGATATTTCCTCACCCGCCTAGTCTCTCTAAGATCTTGGGATCAACATGGTTAAAACAATACTGCAACGAGGCGTGAGTAGGACAAGAATGTGGTGGAGATTTAATTCAGATTTTCTCTGTTACTGAAGCTGAAAGGAACATTGTAAAAATTGTAAGAGTTAAAACTTTTTCTATATTTTCATATTTATTCCATCTACAATACCTAGCCAACTGTATTCTAAAACTATATTTTAAATAGGTCCTTATTTTTATACAACCAACTACCATATCCCAAAAATCTCTCTTTAACCTCCACCCCAAGAAACTCCAGCAATGTCTCTTATCATACTGCATGTATACCAAATCGTTGATAGTAAGTCACACTGCAATTTGCATGTCATATTCTGCAGTTAAATCCAGAATGTACACACTAACTGGCTATGTCTACACTGCAGGCTTCTTGCACAAGAACTGTTTTGCACAAGAGTTCTTGTGCAAAAGCTCTTGTACTGAGCACATCCACACTGCCATGTACTTTTGCGCAAGAGATGTGCTTTTGCGCAAGAGCATCCATAGCAGTGTGGACACTCTCTTGCGCAAGAAAGCTCTGATGGACATTTTAGCCATAGGAGTTTCTTGCGCAAAACCCCTGTTGCCCATCCACACTGCCTTCTTGCACAAGAGCTCTTGCGCAAGAAGCCCTCTGTTCCGACGCTTTACTGTAAATCTACTTGCACAAGAACGTGCATGCAGTGTAGATGCTCTACAAGTTTTTGCGCAAGAATGGCCATTCTTGCACAAGAAGCCTGTAGTGTAGATGTAGCCACTAAATTTAATCCAGATAAGGGCTACTGTCAAGTCAAATCAACTCCCTGACAGTGTTCCTCTCGCTAAAGATATATTAACAAATGTACACCACTTTGCACATTCAGAGTGCTTTACAAACACTTACGTAAATGCATTTTAGTATATTCAAAAATTCAATATCATCGTAAAGTGTGAGAGTGGAACATGAAGGTACTTGCATATATAGAATATTATTTTTTAAGTATAGCATCCTGTTAAAAATAATTCCATTCATTAATTTTATTCCCACACAGTGATTCCCTGGCTGTTACATTTTCCTCTTAATTGCCTGATAGTCAATTGGAATCCACAAAAAAACATAGACCATGGTAAGTACTCAAAAAATAAGGCCTTAAAACACGCAAGCGACTTCCTGACTGCATTCTCCCTGGTACAATCTGTACTGCCACTTACCTGTTAAGCGCTCAGGACTTGGTTACTCAGTTTCAGGATTTCAGCATATATTATACAACAGTCAATTTTGTATTAGAAATAGGAAGGAAACAACTTCATACAGAAATATCATCATCTACAGGCGATATAAAAAAAATTGGAAATATATTATACTGTACCTGCTATATCAATCCATCTGGAATTCTGAGAAGCAGCTTTCAGAAACATTAAACTGAATATATTTTGGTCTTTATTTATGTGCTTTTGTAGTTAAGAAAAACTCCATCAAATGAACAAAGGTTCTAATTACAGTTAAGGTCCGATTCAATTGATATAATGACTACTGGTCCAGATATAATTACTCTGTAGTCCAGCAACATCCGTGGTCCGGCAGAATTTTAGTTTGCCAGATGCCTGCTTATTGTGGGTAGGGCCAAGTTTTCTGTGGTCCCATAAAGGTCATTTACAGCCACCAGTCCTGGCTCTCAGTGTTCTGTGCTGTTATTTAGCTTTAATTTACCCCTAAATGTCTTCTGAGAGACCAGGAAGCAGTGGAAGTGCTGGTAATGCTGCTAAACATAAGCATGTTTTTTATGCTTTATCTACTTATTTCCTTGTGCCAATATAGTTGTTATGAAGAGAACTGATAAGCTTTGGCTAGATGTAGGCTTATATGTAGGGTGTATCAGTACAGTCATACATTACTAAGCAGCATTGCAAGCATTGTTCCGTTTATTTGCCTTGGCGAAATAAATCTAAAAAGAGACCCACTCCCTACAATATTGACCTTCCATGGTTTGGCATATTCTCTGGTTTCGCACCAGTCAGGTTCCAGGGTGCTGGACTAGAGAGGTTCCATCTGTATTAACATTGCCTACTTAAGGCACCTGTTCTACACTGGTACATTAGTATCTCATAGTTTGATTAGAGTATTTCTTCAGGTAAGTTTAGGTAGTGGTCTTTTAATGGATCTTTACAACATATTCTGAAATATAAAGGTTTATTATATTTATCCAGAATAGGCTTATCTGCTTAACCTCTTTCTGAAAATGACACACAAATGGACCCATTATTCTTCCCACAATAAATGGAAATGTATTTTTACTGATATAGATAATAATACATGCTGAGGACATTGTGGAGATAATTAATGTACATGATATGGAAAGAGGAGGGTCAAAACATAGCTAATGGTTTTCATTAAAAATCAATTTTCCCCTAAACCAAGTAAAATCATCCTTGCATTGAGTACATGGTCCATAGAAACATCTTTCCAAGAAATTCATCTCCCTGCTAGCATCTGTTCAAGCTGAGAAGTCTTCCATGGAGGAACAAGTAAATACTCCTTGTTGCTTTCAATGCTCAGTCCATTTTAGGCTTTTCTTTTCCTTCTTCCATAGCTGAAACAATATGGAGAATAGCTTTCAAAACACCAGAATGAATAAAAACTGATTGTAAACATAGTCTGAATGAGTTCTCTCCTGACATCTTATGATGAACTGGGGAAGAGGATTACAGAAGCTGATCTAATTTTTATGAGCACACCCACCCGCCTAAGTGCTCAGCATGATGGGATTGCTCGTCCAAAGGATCACTTTTGGCTGGTGTTGGATCCCCACTTTCCTTGTTTTTCGGGTTGGACTAATAAAACGTTGTTATTCTTGTAGAATGAATAGAGGGCAGCAGAACTGTGCTTGGTTTATACTGATTAAAGAACTCACCCTCAACTAAGTGGCATTCATTGGGCCAATGAATGGGTTCCAAAGCCCAGTGAGTGGTTGTAGGCATTGACTGATTATTGTGTAATAGAAGAGGTAATTTCAATTCAGTGGAGGGTTTTGTTATGTGTTACAGGGCTGAAATTGTTGATTCTTATGTTTAAGTATTAGACTTGCTTTGGGACAGTATCTCTGGTATAAGAGAGTGAGTTCAGGAAGTGAGGCTTCCTTTGTAACAGCTGAAATCATTGAGAGCTATGTTAAACAATGGGCCCTGAAGATATGTTGGTGATTGTTTAGTATGGTGGCTGGTGGAGAGGCATGGCAATTGGCAGCCCTGCTGATAGGGGCCAAGGGAGGTAAGTGCCTTGGGTCCTGGTGATTCTAAAGGGCCTGGGGCTCCCAGTTGCCCTGGTCTTGGGGGGGCGGGGCTTTGTGGTGTGCTCAGGGCAGCACTGAGGGCTGGCTTCCTCCAGCCCTGCCCCCTCTGCCTGAAGCCCTGCCTATTCCAGGAGCATGGAGCATCTCCCCACCTTGCCCTGAGGCCCGGCACAGCTGTTGGCTCCCCTGGCAATTAGGTGGCTGGCAGAAAGAGATTGTGAACGAGTACCTTAGTAACACATAAAGAATCAATTACGGCTAATAGGGCTTTTTCCTCTTTAATGTCCATTCCTTTTAGTTATCTAGGTAGCATGACCACAGTATATACAGGCAGTCCCCGAGTTACGCGGATCCGACTTATGTCGGATCCGCAGTTACGAACGGGGATTTCTCGCCTCGGAGAACTAGAGCAGCGGGACGCCTGGTCCCGCCGCCCACCTTCTCCGGGGCGAGAAAAGCTGCTCCCCGTCTCCCTGGTCTGCTGGCAGAGCAAAGCAGCGGAGCACCCGGGGCCGGACCCGCGCCCGCTTCTGGGAGACGTGGAACAAAGCGGCGGAGCACCCGGCAGG